GATGATAGCTGCGCATGGTATAGAATATAATATGTTAGTATTATATGTAGTGTACTTGCAGAACATGTTGAGGCTTACCATAAGCAAGCACAGCCGGTTCCACTGGTCACATGATGGATGGCTGCCTTGTTTATGGTTGCATCGCATCAGAATTCAGAACCTGGAGGAGAGCATAAGTCTCTGAGATCTGTCGAGGGAATTTCCACCATTTCTTTTTGTAGTATAATCACAAGCATGCCCATATCACTCACTGAACGAGCAGTTCATGGCCAACCGGAACACAGCCAGCACACTTAACATGCGAACTCAGCCTATCAATCATATCAGATATCTGGTCGGACTCTGGGTGCTTTCTGTCCCCAACTGTGAACTCGTGGAACGCCTCATCAAGTTCTATCCAGCTTGAGCCAGCTGTTTTCTGAGACCCTGTTCCTTTCATCTGCACCCTTGCCTTCGCCATATCGCTCCACTTCCCAGCCTCTGCATAGATGTTCGACAAGACAGCGTAGTTGCAAGTTGCTCAGCTCGTTCACTGCAAGTTCTGCATACTCCACGTTCTTGTGCAGTCGGCATGCACTGAGCAAGGACCCCCATATGACCTCATTAGGCTCCCAAGGCATGCTTTTGATCATGTCGACAGCCTCCTTAATGAGCCCTCCACGGCCAAGAAGATCGACCATACAACCATAATGCTCTATCTCAGGCTTAATGCCATAGTCTGTCTCCATGTTGGCAAAGAACCTCCGTCCTTCTTCCACAAGCCCCATGTGCGTGCAAGCGCTGAGAACATTGATGAGCGTCACAGCATCAGGGTGAAAGCCTTGCTGCTTCATTTGTGCGAAGAGGTCCAGCGCCTTTTCACCATGCCCATGCATTGCAAACCCTCCAATTATAATGTTCCATGACACTGAATCCTTTTCAACTATCTCAGTGTCGAAGATGTAGTCGGCTCGGTTAACACATCCACACTTGCAGAACATGTTATAGTGCCCCTTCAGAAAGCAACCACCGTGAACCCGACCTTTGGACGCACGTTAGATGAATATGACACTACCTCCAAGCCGGAAGCCCGGCACCACCGTGAACCCGACCTTTGGTCGCACTGGCTTCCCGAGCTCCTTGCTCGCCACGAAACCCTTCGACCAGACAATGTTCTCCATGTACACCATTGAGAACTCTGTGCCCCGGCCATCCTAGAATATGCCGACTGCTGGGTCATACGCCTGAGCTAACTGTGCAAGATGTCCATATTGAGCTTGCCATTGCAACAAACAACTCGTAGAGTGGGCCGCCACACTCATCACCAGCAATGTCCCGCAGTCTGAATTCCCCAAACGGTGAGGATTCAATGCCAGGATGGATCATTTGTTTGTACTTGCGGTCGCAAAATTGGGCAAACTCGCAGTCCGGGCTTGAATTCATCAGCTCCATCGGTGCGCATCCGAGTGCTCGATGAATTGCTGCAATGACTTCGTTCCTCACGGGTTGCCAGCTCCATTCCTCCGAGCTCTGTGGTGCGGTTGTGGCACCGAATTGGTAGGAGTCGAATCCGTCAAACATGGAGAGGGGGCGTGGGAGAGGCGCGAAGCGGCAGTGGCCGGCCTTGGAGTAGGAGACACTGGGGTAGGCGGCGCGGCGGCGAGTCCCACCCAGTAAGACCGGAGGACCTCGGCAAGCGAACCGTCGGTGGGCGACGCGGAGCGCGTCGCAGAGGACAGAGTCGAAGACGCCATGATAAAGATCGCGCCGACGGCGTCGCCGCCCGGCGGAGGGGCGAAGGCGCGGTCGAGGCGGCCCATGAGCCGCGCGTTGCCATCGCCGACCGCCGAGGTCCAGCCAGCAGCCTTGGCGGCAGCCGCTGGCGTCCTTGGCGCCGAGGGCCGCTGTAAGGGCGGTTCACCACACCGTCGAAGGACCACATCAAGACTGGTTCTCGCGCACTGGGCCTCGAGGTGCGCCGTGAGCGCCCCGTCCCCATCCCGTCTGGCGAGGGCGGGTCCGCCCGCCCCCCTCGCGATCCGCTTGAGCTCGGCGTACCGCCAGAGGTGCGAGACCGCTGGCGGTGTCCGCGCCACCGCCACATCGGGCAGGCGGCGCGGGCGGCCTACTGAGTGTGTACGCCGCTGGGAACGACGAGGCCATCGCGAGCGCCGCAGCGACGGCAATGGCGCCTCTGCCCGGACGGCGCCTTCCCTCCCGTCGCGCTAGGGTTAGGGGTTGCAAGAATGGTCGGGCTTCAAAGACGACCACCGCTGCCCGGCAAGGACCCCATCCACCCCGGCGCCGGGAAAGCTTGAATCGGTCGGCGCCCTCGTCCTCCTCCTCCTTGGCGAGAAGAACTCGATGGTCTTGGTCTTGAACGCGAGCGCGAACTTGTGGAGCATGGCTTCGCGCCACCGCCGCCGCTTCGGGCGCTCTCGCATCTCCGCCACGAAAGCGGCGGGTGTCGGCGACGCGAATTGCGGGAGTGCGGGGTGTTGGCGTAGAATGAGGAGATTTGATACACTCAATCCAGGGCCTCGATTGTGTAATGAGTAAGGAGAGAGAAGGCTTAGAGTGCATCTGGACGGTTCGTTTGAAATGTGTTGTTTTTCTGGGTACACTTTTTGGGGTGGACTTAGAGGGGACATCTCAGCGGGGGGTCGTTTTCTTGTGTGGACGTAGGAAAGAAAAGATGGTGCATTAGTAGGGTAGATTTGGCATGTTGCACTGTGAATTGGGCATCAATAGCGGCGTGCTAATCAGTGAATGGAAGCTCAATCTGTTGTGAATTGCGTGACAATCCCAACGGTCCAAGAAATTGCACTGTTTGTAAGTAGGAAAAATATTATACAAACAAGAAATGATGTCTGGTTGGCGGTTGCAAGTTGGAAAAAAATAATATACAAACAAGAAATTATGTGTACCCTTTTGAATTATTGGGCTAATTGGGCCGTCTGAAATGAAATCTACGCGGGGGTTTCCTCTCCCCCTCACAGTCGACCATAAAAGAATTATTATTTATATAATTTGTGGGGAAAAAAAGCTATACTCACAATTTGTCGACAGAAATATGAAACAGGAAAAAAAGATACTCACATAACTTGTGAAAACAGGACATAAATTGTGCAAGCAAAAGTTTCTGGTACATTTTGTTAAACAGAAATGCTATACAACACGCATGTGTTTTAGCAAAAAAACACATGGATTTTTTTTGTATCTCTCTCCCTCTCTCTTTCTCACCGGTGACCACCGGCGCCAGCAACGACGACCGGCAGTGGCAGTGACGGTGACGGCGGCGGCGGATCTGTGATTTGTCCTTCCATAAAAAAAATTATGATATATGATCCGTGGAGGCTGGAGGCTGGAGGTAGAAGAAAGGTGGAGGTTGTTGGATCTTAATACTATGGTGCAAAAAAAATCATGTGTTGAAACTGCGTAAAATGTACGGTTGTGTAGTAGACAGACTATGTTAAAACAAAGAATTATGCGCAAAGTTTCTTAACAAATTTTGTTTGCACAAAAATCAGCCACAAACAATTTCTGAACAAAATTTAAATCATTTTTAAAAAAATCATGTATACTAAAATTTGAATGGATTTGAGATGAGAAAGAGGAGAGAAAAAAATGTGACATCTGCCGCTAGGGCCCGCCGAAATCTGCCACAAGGGGACTACTCAAGTCTCGCTTGCTCGCTGGGGGACCGAACTCCCCCCACCAGGTCGACGTCGACCTCCACGGCCCATGGGGCGTCCACGCCGTGGAGCCGCCGTGGAGCCTGCTGGAGATAAGAGAGAAGAAGACAGAAGAAAAGGACACTAGCATGAGGAATCACGGGATGAGAGGGGTCGATAAGGCACATGTCTCAACTAGCCAGAGTGTGCGGATCCAAGAGCCTGAGCACGACGGGGAGCCCTTTCGACGGCTGAAGCGTCAAGAAGTCGGCCGGCGCGTGCACACTGCACGTACTCCGGCGCCACCTCGAAGGCGAACCGCCGCAGGATGAGCGCCAGAGTGGCCTTGGCCTCCAGCATCGCGAAGTCCTGCCCGATGCACGACCGCGGGCCCAAGGAGAAGGACAGCAGCGCGTTCGGGTGCGCGGCGGCCCTGCCCACGCCGTCCCGGAACCGCAGCGGGTCGAACTCGCCGGCGTCCGCGCCCCACACCTCCTCATCGCGGTGGAGCATCGCGAAGGGGATCGCCAGGTGCGTGCCCTTGGGCACCTTCACACCACAGAGGTCCACGTCCGCCGTCGCCTGTCTCACGATAGTGTTGACCGGGCCGTACAGCCAGAGCGTCTCGTACAGCACCATCGTCACCTGCAGATTAACCACGGCACCGTCGATTTAGTCACAGTAGTCTTGTACTTCTCGTTGATGGCCGGCCGATCAGGGCTTTAATTTAATTACTTACAAGCTTGAGTTTGTTGAGGGCCTCACCGTTGAGGGGCACGTCGGCGCCGCCGCACTCGCGGCGCACCTCCTCCCTGAGCCGTTGCTGCCACTCGGGGTGGGTGCCGAGGAGGAACATGGCCCAGGTCAGGAGGTGGGCGGTCGTGTCGTGGCCGGCGAAGAAGAACGTCTTGCACTCGTCGATGATCTCGTCCATGCTCATGGCCTGCCGCCCCTTCCTATCGTCGTCGCCGGCATTATTGGCCTCCAACATGAGGCCGAGCATGTCGTTGCCGTAGCCTTTGGATTCCTTAGCCGAGGCCAGGCGCTCGTCGATGATGGCCATGAGCGTGCCCCGCACGGTGCGCTCGAGCTGCCACCGGCGCACGTTGGCCTTGATCGGCACATTTTATAAAACAAAGTCTGACATTTTATTGCACTGAACAAATATTACACTGATCAATTCCTGCTACAAAGATTGGTCAAACAACAAATAAATGGCAAGGAAGCAACAATGAATTAGGTTGCTTCATAACATTACATGAATCAGCTAAGCCACTACAATGCAATGAAATAGTCCCTGTGGTACTACAATCCTACATCAAGAAACAGCTACTATCGATCTAATAACTAAACAATGGCATGTATCCAGGGTGACTTGAAGTTCTTGAACCACGGGTGCTCAAGCGCTTCCGCTGCGGTGAGCCTCTTCTCAGGGCAGAAGGCCAGCAGGCCCGTCAGCACATCACGACCATCCTCCGACAGATCTGCCACGCACTCCGGATCAAGCTTCCCCGCAGCAGAGGCCATCCGATCTCGAAGCTCGGACATCTCGTCAAGCATCTCCGGCCCTGTCTCCGCCTGGAACAGAGTCTCACCGCTCAGAAGCTCCGCCATAACGCACCCGAGCTCCCACATGTCGACAGCAGGGACGTAGTACCAATTGCCGTTGAGCAGCTCCGGCGAGATATACTGCAGCGTCCCGACGGGGTACGCCTCATGCTCCTTCCCGGCAGGCTTCTGTCGCGTCGCCGATCCAAAATCGCAGACTTTGAGCTCGCCGAAAGGGCAGACGAGGATATTATCTGGCTTCATGTCGCGATGGATGAAGCCCACACCATGGATCTTCTTGGCAGCGCTGACGAGTTGCTGCATCATCTCGCGGACCACGTCCTCGGACAAGGGTCTCCACATAGAGTCGCGCAGGCTTACCCCGCCGTGGACCAGCTCCAACACAAGGTGGACGTCCCCGGTCCTGGGGTCGGCGGCGACATCCTGGATCCCGATGATCGACGGGTGGCCGCGGCACGCGTGGAGGCAGCCGGCCTCCATGGCGAGCGCGCGGCGGTCGGGGTGGCCGATCCATTTGAGCGCCACCTTCTTGCCGGTGCGGCGGTCGCTTGTTCGCGTCAGCAGCAGCGCGTGCTTCTTGGTCCGGTGCCGGACGCTTGCGAGCCGTCGGCACCACCGCCACCGCCACAGACATGATCTGAACTTGAGAATGGGAGAGGAGGCTGTGGGAATCTGGGATCGAAAGACGAGCGGAGAGCAGAGAGAAAGCGAATTGCGAATCTAGATGGAAAGAAGCGATGGGCAGAAGTGGAGGGAAGGGGATCCGACAGCTGCTATTGTGGTGGCCGGCGGCGTCGCTCTAACGCTTACGACTCCGACTCGAATTCAATTTTTGGTTTCAGTAGGATAAGGGCCTCGCGTTTTCGGCTTTCGCGGGCGCGCGAAAATTGCTCAACTGCTCTGGGTTTCTGACGGCGAGGCTTTGCTGACCTCAGCAACGCTACCTTACAGACGTCAGCACATAATTTTGCAAACAAAAGTTCTTTCAAAAAATATTGTTTGTTCTTGTTTGTATGATATATATAATTTATGATTGAAAAAAATAAAAAATACATTAGCATGCACAAAATATTAAAATCAACAATAGCAGTAGAAAAAGTAACTAGTATGAAAAACAAATTGTTGTGTGGCAAAGAAATATATATAAGTCATCTATTAAAATTAAATTAAATTTGCATGAACCAGAAAAACTTTACTTTCATGAATGAAAATAACACGAGTAAAATTATGACGAATAAAAACATACTACCATAAACCAAAAGTAATGTAGCGATGAAAAGAAGACGAAGGTATCATGAATAAAAATTGGCATCACAAATGAAAACCAATAACAGAACAATTGTCACGGCGAAACAAATATTTGCCTTCTATGAAAAAAAATCAAAAAGTCTAAGAAAAAAAGGAACACCCCTCCCAAAAAGGAAAAGTATTTGACATGAGCAAAATCATCATATGTTGACATCATCATCAAATCTCTTTGCTTGTAGGTGGGTCGACCAATCTTAGATACTCCCTCCTTCCAAATTATAAGTCACTTTGACTTTTTTTTATGTATCTTTCAATAATCATATGTTTTCCATATGTAGGTGGACTTTGTAGCTCAATTTTTGTGTTTCAAGCCATATTAGTCCCAAAATAATCAGTACAACGTTTAGACATACAACTTGTTTCATATTTGAAGGTAAATATAGATTGAGTTCAATATTTGTTTCATACCATCATGTTTGGTCATGTATAGGAGTCCTCTGTTCCAAGAGAATGTGTTTACACCAAAATTTGGGAAGAAGAACGCGGGAACTCGAAGCTTTTAGGATTGTGTCATTAAGGAATCGATTAGATGAGAATCGGTATCAGCTGATTTAGATGTAATGTCAGAATCGGCTATTTTATGGATGACGTTAGCAGACGGCGTCAATGGGCTATACTTAAGTGGCGCTAGGGAGATGTGTCAGACTCTACGAATAAGGAAAATTGGGGTCCAAGTTATTATTAAGTTAGGAAGTTTTCTTTTATTCCAAGAATTATAATGAGTCGTATTTGAGTAGAATTCATGTTTAGGTTCTGGGTATAAATATTAGACATTAGTTATTGTAAAAAAGGACGAACACACAATCAATACAATCTTTCTGGCTTTCACCATCGCATTAGGAGTAGGAGTACTGTAGATCTCCAAGAGTTCTTCCACAAACAGAGCTGCATCGACTGATCGATCTCCAGCTTGCTTGTAAGTACCGTCATGATTTATATTGTGCTTGTAAAGCTGCATCAGCTGATTGATCTTTTATGAGCCATAATATAAGTTAGTTATCGATCTGTATCGTAGTTTGTAAGGCTGTATCAGCTGATTGATCTCTTACAAATCATAATATAGATCAAAGTTATTGATCTTGTATTAAATAACTTATTGCTTAATATAATATCACCAGTTATCGAATCTGCTAAGATTTTTCTTGCTGTTTTTTATTGATTCACCAGTTCTCGATCTTGCTATAATTAATGTTCTATTAATTATAACAAATCATCCGATTGAGATAGAGATAGATCGGCATCATATCATCTTAATTGGTCGTCCTCTGATCTGGTCACGTTTCAAATCTTATAATTGATGGATTAATTCCGTTAGATCGGGTGTTTTATCTCTATTCCAATCAAACATAGTATGCATCCAAAGACATGTTTCAATCTTGAATAAACTCACTAGTTAATGACATCTAATCTAATGACACTACCATAACTGCATCGATCCGGTCGAACCTTACTAGTAAGACTAGATTAGAAATTGTCGATTAGTGGTCTTGTTCATGATCAAGATATGTGCTCTGTTTGTTTGCTATGACTGTATCGGCTATTTTATTCGATTTGACTATACTCTCACGCATGTAGTATGTTTTCATGAATCTGTCAACATATAGATGGTTTTATAGATTCTTTGGCTTTAGTTTATCATTATTATCATAGCTGCATCGATCCGATCGAACCTCACTGTTGATGGTAATAGATTAGATTCAAACTGTTTGTAGATTTATTTATATTAGACAGTCGATTTATTCGCATATTATACTCTTTTCATCAAACTTATCAGCTCGACACTTTATATCGATCATGTTCCATTAGCCGATGATGCTTTCTTATATCACTTCTTATGGATACGCCGGATATCGACTATTTAGTCGATAGCCTCATTGAATCGGCTATCTAGTCATACATTTAGAACTGTTTGGTGCAATACAGACATGTTTCACCTTAAATTACTGATAAGATTTTCTCTCCTTATTAATTGCAGGTCAAATTGACTGGCACGTCGTTGGGTTTTCAGAATCAGCTGGTTCTATGTTGAAGCCAAGCAGATCTCTGGTCTCATTCCACTCAGATCTTTCGGCTTGCTATGTGTTGATCACATCGTCACATTTTTGTGTCAACATACTTTTTGGCATACCCAGTGGGACCACAATCGTCATGGTGGTTCACAATAACAAAGACATTCTTATGGTACCTTATGAAGACTTACCTGATGAGGATAAAAATATCATTGATAAAGCTATAGAGAAGTTTTAGAATAAATATTTGTTGTCATACACCAAAACACGTGACAATAAAGTTATTTAGAAATATCAACTTCTGAGAGTTTTGATGCATGGACAGTCAGATATAGACGAAGCTGATGATAGTCATTTCTTTGTAGAAGCTGTCAACAAATATGTTCATAATACAATGCTAAATCATAATACAGCTTTCTTAAGTACATTCTATAATACCATGAAGGAGGTGTTTTATGGATTTTCACTTGATCAGGTTGGACCGGTTTATTATAATATTCCACATCCATCGACTCAGGGGACTAATCAAGCTGGTACTAGCCATCAAGAAGTTGCCCTAGCCAAGAGTGATGATGCCCAGGCAATTCAAAATTCATCTAAACAAATTCAGGGTGCTACTATTAATCAAATGCAATATAATCCTGGATCATCGGTGCAGCATGTGCAACAGCCGATAGGGCAAGTTCAGAATCAGATGGTTAATTTTGGTACATCTGGCCAAATACCACTGTTGGCTCAAAAAATAGCACCACCGGTTCAAAAGATTCGTAGAGATATAGATCATAATATTTTCAATCAAAGATTTCAAGCAGTAAATCAGTAAGGGGCTCGATAAATAGATATTCCACAAGGATATCATTATGGTTCAGATTATAATACTTTCAATATGATTCCAAATCCAGGATATCAAGGCACTCAGAATTTTAATCTGCAGATGGGTTAGCAATTGCCAAGAAATTTAAACTTAAATGCTGATGAATTGTTGCTCAGAATAACTGAAATGATAAAAAATAAGTTTGGTTTAAAACCAAAAGGGCAGACCTTTTCGTACAAACATCAATATCCAAAGTGGTATGATTTAGTGGCCCTTCCTACGAATTATAGGCTTCTAGAATTTACTAAGTTCACTGGTCAAGATAGTATAAGTACAATAGAAGATGCCAGTCGATATCTTACTCAGTTGGGTGAAGCCTCTATTGAGGAAGCGCATCGAGTTCGTTTCTTTTCTTTGTCCCTGTCAGGACCAGCTTGCACTTGGTTTTCATCACTAGCGGTTAATTCTATTGCCAATTGGAGTGATCTTGAGAAGAAATTTCATACATATTTCTACACTAAGACAGGAAAAAGAAAGATCATAAATTTGACAACTATAAAGCAAAGGGCTAATGAATCGGGTGCTGAGTTCCTTCAGAGATTTCGAGAAACAAGAAACTTATTCTTCTCGTTGAATTTGACTGATGATCAGCTAGCTGTGTTGGCCGTTCAAGAAATGTTGCCGACATGGAGAGAAAAGTTGCTTGGGCAAGAATTTAATAATTTAGGTCAATTGGCTCAACGGGTGATAGCACTTAAATAGCCAGTCCAGAATATGCGCAGAGATACCCGATTCCAAAAGAATGCTGCAATCACTGAAGCTTATAATCCATATTTAGTCGATGATGATGATGAAGAAGAGAAAATTGCTACAGCTGAATGAAATTGGGGTAAAAAGATAGTAATGGTTCCAAATCCTTGGGGAAAAGAAGTTGAAGGGAGTTATGATTTTTATGTTACAAAAGCAGACAAACTTTTTAATTTCTTGCTTGAGAAGGGACAGATTGAACTGCCTGCCAATCATGTTATATTACCTCCTGATCAGTTGAAGAATAAGAAATTCTGCAAGTATCATAACACTACTTTTCATACTACTAATGATTGTAGGATTTTTCGACAGCATATTCAGAGGGCCATTCAATAAGGAAAGCTTAAATTTGATACAGCTCAGAAAATGAAAGTTAATGATAATCATTTCCCAAAGGATCAGAATATGGTTGATGCTAAGTTATTCAAAGGGAAAGCTAAAGTTTTAACATCATCAAGAGCAAGAGAAACTAGAACAGTTGATCCAGATAAGCAAATATCGGCTGATGAATATAGAGAAATTAAAAGGTGTCGTGACCAATA